TTTCCCTCTGCCATCAGACTCCTAAACAGCTGAGGAGTTTATTACCAGGAAATACGTCATGTACTGTTTACATTCTCAGTTTGCACATTGATAATTGACCATTGACTGTTGACTGCTGCACATGCTGCTCCCATGCAGCATACATTCTGTTATATTCTTATATATTTTTTATTATATTGCTGCATTTGCTGCTTAAAGTGCCTTAGATTTTGTGTTACTTATTTATCTACTTTATATTTCATTAGTATTTTGTGGCATTCATGTGGACGGCAAAGTAAGAATTTCATTGTACAGGGAAACACGTTTCCTAACTGTGCATATGAAAAATAAACACTTTGACCTTTGACAGTCCATAGCTTTAAGAAATCTAATGTTTGTTTGGTTGAGTTCTATTTGTCTGGGTAATATATTTTAATCAGTATAATACATTAATTTACATGTAACATTAAAATCTGTGGTTTAAAGGAGACTCCACCGATTACAATCAATGAACTAGTCAAAAATGTGACTGATGATCTGCTAACTGTCCTCCTCTCCTCCATCGTCAGCTGACTTACTCATTATACATGAACAAGAAGCACAAGCAGGGGGCACTCCCTGCTGCAGTAAATGTTCCTACACATGGACTTCCTTCATGATGTTGTGGGCAGTCCCAACAGGTGCGTTTGTGAAGTCTGTCCTGTTTCCACTGGTGAGAAGTGGTGGTCTGGCTCAGCCTCTCTCCTACCAAACACCCTCACCATGTTTCTCCATAGTGGAGTTTTATTACTGCCATTGTCCACTCTCTGCATCCAAAGATTCTTTTCTCCAAACACTACTTACAACACTGAGAACATGCACCCATGTCAGGGCTTTTCTTCAGCAAAAAAAAGACACTGGAACAGACACTCACCCACAGTGTAGAGGCTGGCGTCTGTCAGCTTACTGATGACGGCCTCGCTGGATAAACCCTCACTGGTCTTCACCTCCACAGTGGAGCCCACCTGAAGGACACACACAAACAGTGAATCCAGGATCAGCAAGACTGCAGAAATACCTCACATAGTCAAACACTGCTGTTTCTGTAGTGACAAAATCAAAATCCTGGCATCACAGGTGGACCCCGTATCGCACGGTCCTGGCAGTTATTGGCACAGAGACAAGCTGCTGTCAGTGTCACTGCTAGAAAAGCTGAGATGCAACAACAAAATACTCAGTATGACATGAGGGAGCTGAGAGGGGGGAGGGACTAAAGTGAGGATAACTGTGCACGGCACAAGGTTCAGTCACATTTCTTTTCTACGGCACATGAGCAAATTGCTTTGTCGTATTGTCGGAATCCAGGTGACGCAGGACACACTCAAAGAGGAGGGTTTCAAAGCTTTTAAAAATTAAATTTTATGCAAGTGAGGGCAGAGCTCAGCTGCTGGCTATGCAGTGCTCTCCTGACAAATCGAACCAAGAGCAAAGTGGAGGTTCACTAAGTTTGGTGGTCAGCAGCTGGGGACACATCTGTGGAGGATAAGAGCTCTGTGTATGTTCTGGGATCCTTCTCTTCAAGGTGATAGTATTAATCAGGTCAATCATAATGAAAGTGCCAGCTGCCTCTTTACACTATTTGCTAATGAACAAGTCATCCACTAGCTTGTGAGCACCAACATGTCCACTGTCCAATTTATTTGTACAGCGCCAATTCCCACAACAACTGTGTCAGTGAGAAGTGGTGGTGGTGATGGTGCATGGCTTGGTTGCTTCCAGTGGGTCTTCACCTTAAGACGGTGAAGCTGTAAACTAAAAATGATAAGTGTAAAAGTGCATTAACTAAGCCGGTCCTTTCTCAGCAGCTAAAAATCTGAACCAGCAGCTGCCAGAGTGAAGAGGTGGCGTCTTCAGCACAGAGAGAGTGGGACAAAGAAAGAGCAACAACCAGGGTTAACATGGGTTTGGCTGTTTGACGTGGAGAGGGTTAAAAGCAGCCAGAGGACTCAAGATACAAGATAAACCTTTATTAGTCCCACAATGGGGAAACTCACACCATTACAGCAGTAAAGGGATAGAAATAGGCACTCGGTGTTAAGAATCAAAAACTAACAGACACAGAATTATCAATATAAAACTAGTCTAGCTATAATAATAAAAAACTAAGACATAGTACACTGGTATGTTGTGTATTCAAAGTTAATCGGTCTATGGGTGTGTGAGGTCGACTTCAGGTGCGGGGGGGGTCTACTGGGAGCAGTGCTGGTTGACAGCCCAACAGTAGGAGGAAGGAAGGACCTGCGACAATGCTACATCACGCACTTGGGGTGAAGCAGTCTGTCACCAACGCAGCTGCCCGGTGCTGACGGAGTCCCGTGCATGGGGTGGGAGTCCTTCTCCAGCCGGGATGTCAGCTTGGCTTACATCCTCCGGTCTCCCACCACCTGCAATGGGTCAAGGGGACCTCCCAGGACAGAGCTGGCCCTCTTGAGCAATTCGTCCAGTCTTTTCCTGTCCGCGGTCGAGATGCTGCACCAGCAGACCACTCCATTTTGTCCAGACCACTCTAGAAGATGGCTGCTGCCACCACTGTGTCAGAGAAGCTCCCCAGGAGTGTCCCCTGAACTCCGAAGGACCTGAGTCTCCTCAGCAGGTAAAGCTTGCTCTGGCCTTTCTTGTAGAGTGCCTCAGTGTTGTTTGACCAGCCTAGTTTATTGTTGAGGTGAACATCCAGGGACCTATAAGAGTCCGCTCTCTCACTGTCCATTCCTAGATTGGATTCAGATGTGGCGTTCTTCCATGTCAAAGTGTTTATTCATATGCACAGTTAGGAAACGCGTTTCTCTGTACAATGAAATTCTTACTTTGCCGTCCACATGAATGCCCCAAAATACAAATGAAATATAAAGTAGATAAATAAGTAACACTAAATCTAAGGCACTTTAAGCAGCAATATAATAAAAATATATCAGAATATAATAAGAGAATGTATGCTGCATGGGAGCAGCATGTGCACCAGTCAACAGTCAATGTGCAATTATCCATGTGCAAACTGAGAATGTAAACAGTACATCACGTATTTCCTGGTAGTAAATTCCTCAGCTGTTTAGGAGTCTGATGGCAGAGGGAAAGAAAGAGTTTTTCAGTCTAGTGGTCCTGCATTTCACACTTCTGAACCTCTGACCAGAGGGTAGGGGGGTGAACAGTCCATGCTGGGTGGGATCTTTGAGGATGGAGGCAGCTTTCCTATGCACCCTGCTGGCCGTCCCTCTAAACTTTCAGCTCATACAAGGAGAAGACTGATCAGAGATGCAGCCAAGAGGCCCATGATCACTCTGGATGAACTGCAGCGATCTACAGCTGAGGTGGGAGACTCTGTCCATAGGACAACAATCAGTCGTATACTGCACAAATCTGGCCTTTATGGAAGAGTGGCAAGAAGAAAGCCATTTCTTAAAGATATCCATAAAAAGTGTTGTTTAAAGTTTGCCACAAGCCACCTGGGAGACACACCAAACATGTGGAAGAAGGTGCTCTGGTCAGATGAAACCAAAATCTAACTTTTTGGCAACAATGCAAAACGTTGTGTTTGGCGTAAAAGCAACACAGCTCATCACCCTGAACACACCATCCCCATTGTCAAACATGGTGGTGGCAGCATCATTGTTTGGGCCTGCTTTTCTTCAGCAGGGACAGGGAAGATGGTTAAACTTGATGGGAAGATGGATGGAGCCAAATACAGGACCATTCTGGAAGGAAACCTGATGGTGTCTGCAAAAGACCTGAGACTGGGACGGAGATTTGTCTTCCAACAAGACAATGATCCAAAACATAAAGCAAAATCTACAATGGAATGGTTCACAAATACACATATCCAGGTGTTAGAATGGCCAAGTCAAAGTCCAGACCTGAATCCAATCGAGAATCTGTGGAACGAACTGAAAACTGCTGTTCACAAACGCTCTCTATCCAACCTCACTGAGCTCGAGCTGTTTTGCAGGAGGAATGGGCAAAAATTTCAGTCTCTTGATGTGCAAAACTGATAGAGACATACCCCAAGCGATTTACAGCTGTAATCGCAGCAAAAGGTGGCGCTACAAAGTATTAACTTAAGGGGGCTGAATAATTTTGCACGCCCAATTTTTCAGTTTTTTATTTGTTAAAAAAGTTTGAAATATCCAATAAATTTCGTTCCACTTCATGATTGTGTCCCACTTGTTGTTGATTCTTCACAAAAAATTACAGTTTTATATCTTTATGTTTGAAGCCTGAAATGTGGCAAAAGGTCAAAGGGGGCCGAATACTTTCGCAAGGCACTGTACCTGGCCTGATGAGACAGTTAGTGAAGGGGAAGGGGGGGTCGGGTGGTCTAGGTGTGTGTGTGCCTCCTCTCTGTGCTGTGGCTGGAGGTCTCAAAGCGGGTGTAGAAGGTGTTGAGGTCATCTGGCAGGCTGGCTGTGGAGCTGATGCTGCTGGTGGTGGTCCTGTAGTCTGTGATGTGCTACAGGCCTTGACACATCCGTCCGGAGTCAGCAATAGAATAGAAGCCATTCAGCTTCTCTCTGTACTGCCTCTTGGCCGCTGTGATGGCTTTCATCAGCCTGTACTTCACAGCTTTGTACTCCGTCTCATCGCCTGATCTGAATGCATGAGAGCGAGCCATGTGGCGTACCTGACTGTTTATCCAGGGCTTCTGGTTGGGTAACCTCCTGACTTGTATGGTGGGCACAATGTTGTCAATACAGGTACTAATGTATCCGGTCACATACCCAGCATAATCCTGTACGCTGACAGAAAAGTCCTCGGAGGTGGCTGCAGCTTTAAACACATCCCAGTCTGTCTGGGCGAAACAGTCCTGCAGGGTGCCTTCAGCCTCTGGGGACCAGAGTTTAATTTGTTTGGTGACAGGGTTTGTTTGTTTCAGTCTTTGTCTGTAAGCTGGATACAGGAACAAAGAAATGTGGTCTGAGCGTCCAAGGTGGGGGCGGGGTGTGGCCCTGTATGCACCACGTATGTTACTGTAAACGTGGAAGTGTTCTAAAGCTAACCTGTTTGTTTTGGTAGCATTAGCCACCTAGCACGGTCAGGATTTTACCTTTGTGTTGAATTATTATGATTTTAATTAGGGAGGAACTGGAGCTTTGTGTAATGTCAGCGCTTTGTGTCACATCAGCAGTAACTAGAACGTTCTACTGGACTGACATGTTTACTGTTAGCCTGTTAACGCTAGCTTCAGACTGGGGGCTGCAGCTTGGACAGTTTGTCCTAACCAAGCATCCGTCGTTTACGTATTGTCGGTAGGAAACAGGACGTGATGGGAGAGAAAGAGCGATTAGGAGCAGCTGATGGCATCAGTTTGTTTTGAGTCTCACTAGACCCTCTAAACTGGAAAGACACGAGGTAGAGGAGCTTAAAAACAAAACCCATCATGTTTGTTCCAGAAAACAGAGAAATCTACAAACATCAGAACAAGGGAACCAAACATTTAGGGAACCTACTATAAACCTGAAGCCCAGCATCAGACACACGCTTCATCATCTTACCCTCAAAGGTCCTCTGACCTGGTCATCCTGCACCACCTGGGATGTACTCTCACCTTTCAGAGTCACCTGGAGACACAGGGAGACAGAGGCAGCAGGTGAGCTGGGACAGGGCATGTGATGATCGGTCACACAATCATGTTTGTAATATCTAAATTGCTCATTAGACAGATAAAGTTCCTGTGACTGTTATATTTCATTATTTGTATTACCGATTACCTCCACCAAGGAGGCGGTGTTTTTGGTTCCATGTGTGCTGGTTAGCAGGATTATGGACAAATGGCACATGGTACAGAATTTGGTGGGGACCAACCGTAGAAGTCCCCACTTAGATTTTGGCTGAAAAAGTTCAAGGTAAAAACAAACAAACAAACAAACAAACAAAAAAACAAATCCCATCTTTAACATGGGGCAAAATTTTAAAATTCAGATCTCCCTCAAAAGTTAATAAAATCATTTTTCCTATAGGGTGGTAGTGTTTGTCACAGACCAGATTTCAAGTGGATCTGATTCCTGATCTGACAGCCATTTAAATCCAACACTGAAAACCCAATTCAATACATAACTTGGCCTATTATGAAGACAGAACCCTGAAACGTTCAGGTAAGATGCACAGTGTAACTGCCTATCCAGATCAAAGACTTAAGGACGTGTGTTGTTCTAGACCCATTTGCATGAGTGAATGTTGTGCCTTGGAGGAGGTACGTGCGCTCTGAGTGCTCTTGTCGTTTATGTGGAGCTGCTACTAAGCTGACCCTCTGTTTTATATCATGTTGGTTACAGTTGTAACAGCTCATCAGGTGTTCATGTAAGTAAGCAGAAGCAGCTGAATTTCTTTTTATTTAACCAGTGTTTAACCAGGGCAAGTAAAAGTGCCAACACAGCAACATAACTTCCAGACAAAAACAACACTGAAACAAACAATATACAAGTCTATCCAAGCTAAGAACAAAGACTGTAAAATTTGTGGTGAGTTAAAATGAGGAAGAACCCAACAAGCAGATATTTCACCAGTGACTTTACAGAAGTCTTACATTCAGTCAGTGATACAGGTCCATTCGTGTCACATTCCTCTGCTAACTCTTCCACGTGGCTGCAGCTGAATCAAGGAGCTGTGAATGCTGCGACGCAGCGGCGTCTGATCCGACACTGTGATGGGAGTGGAGCTGTGCGCAGCTGAATCAAGGAGCTGTGAATGCTGCGACGCAGCGGCGTCTGATCCGACACTGTGATGGGAGAGGAGCTGTGCGAAAGAAGCTTGCAGAGGGACGTTTGTCTGGAATATCTTTAGAAATCAAAATAGACCAGCGCCTCATCCAGACCCAACTGATGAAGTGGCGGTGGGAAATGGACCATCTCCTCTGGAAGCTGAAGAAAGACTTCACCTCAGTCTGAGTTTCTAGCAGCATCAGTGTAGCACCGGAAGCAGGACAATAATTCTCACACAGGCTTCCTCAGCAGATGGTGTTTTGCACAGTTACCATGAACGTCTCAGGATTCCGAGCATTTTTAGGATTTGTCAACTTTAAAAATCAAGCTCAACTTCAGCTCATCAGAGTTGAACTGAAAAGTGATTTATTTATTTATTTTTGTCTTTGATTTTCAGTCCTTGGAGCCGTCACGTGATGTTCTGGTTGATCATGTAATAGCCTGACCTGTTATCAGTTACTGAACATCCTTCATTTGGCACTTTTGGTGTGCCTGCTGATAGAGTACCTTCTTCCCAGAGTATAGACACCAGCCAGAGATCCTGGGCTGACACTGTGTTGTGTTTACATTCTGATAAAAACAGCAGCAAGGTAAAAACTACAATGACTGGGCTCACTAATAGCAGATACATACACCTATCAGTCGCAACACTAAACCCTCTGCTTAATACTGTGGAGGGCCACCTTTTGCTGCCAAACAGCTCTGACCCATCGAGACCTGGACTCCAAGACCTCTGAAAAAGTCCGCTGTTATCTGGCACCAAGACGTCAGCAGCAGATCCTTTAAGTCCTCCAAGCTGCAAGGTGAGGCCCCCATGGATCGGACTTCTTTTTCCACCACAGTTATCCTACTGACAGAGGCCTTGAGGGAATACTGTTGCCAGGAACAGGTGGACTTAGTCTGCAACAGTGTTTAGGTAGGTGGTATGTGTCAAAGTAACATCCACATGAATGGCAGGACCCACGGTTTCCCAGCAGAACACTGCCCAGAGCGTCACGCTGCCTCTGCAGGCTCGTCTTCTCCCATAGTGCAAGCGACGCACATGCACCCGGCCCCGACGTGATTCATCAGACCAGGCCACCCGCCTTCTTCCTGCTCCATGGTCCAGTTCTGATGCTCACATGCCCATTGTAGGTGCTTCTGTCAGTGGACAGGGGTCAGTACAGGCACTCCGACCAGTCTGCAACTACACAGTCCCACATGCGGCGAGCTGCGACGCCCTGTGTTCCGACACCTTTCTATCAGAATTAGAATGAAGATTATCAGCAGTCTGTGTTACAGTAGCTCTTGTGTAGGATCAGACAACATGAGTTAGCCTTCGCTCCCCACGTGCATCAGTGATCCCTGGGTGACCATGACCCTGTTGTTAGTTCACCATTTGTCCTTCCTTGGACACCGTTAGCAGGTACAGACCACAGCAGATCAGGAACACCCAACAGAGTCCAACAAAGTTGGAGAGTTTGACCCTTGTCAAAGTCACTCAAATCTTTGTTTGTGCTTCTAACACATCAACTTCAAGAACTAACTATGCACCTGCTGCATAATGCTCTCCACCTCCTGACAGGCCCAACTGTATCAAGGTGATCAGTGATATTCACTTCACCTGCCACCGGTTTTAATGTTATGGCTGAGCAGTGTACATGTAGTTAACACCACATGTATGTAAACAGCAGCTGTGTGTAATGACGGTCACACTGGTGACCTACAGGGACAGCACGACAGGTTTGTGATGACTTTCTGAAGGCAACACCTGTA